AATACTTAATATTTATTATATATTATTAAAATTATATAAATTTAATTAAAAACTTAAATTATATTTATTAAATTATTTATTAAATAATAATAATAAAATTTAAATTTTTTTTAATTAGTTAAATATATTTTTTTAAAATTAAATTAAGAATAAAGTTTTTATTTAATTATATAAAAATTTAAAAACTATTTTTAAATTTAAATAAATTTTTTATTTCATTATTTTTTATTTTAATATTTTTTAATTAATTTTATTTTTTTAATTTTATTTTATAATTTACTTTATTAAATTTAAATATATATAATTAAATATTATATTATCTTAAAATATAATTAATAAAATTATTTTTATTATTATTTTTATAGAGAATAAATTAATTATTTTAATTATATTTATTATATAAAACTATTAATAAAAATTATCTTTATTAATTTATTAAAAAATAAAATTCTTTTTTTATAATATATATTTTATATAGAAAATATTTTATTAATAAACTTTTTAACTTTAAATAAAATATAAAATATAAAATAAAGTTATTATTATAATTATAAAATTATTAAATTTTATATTAATTACTTTATATAAAATTTAATTTAAAATATTAATTATTTTTAATTTATAATATTTATTAATAAAATTATTAAATTTATTTATAAAAATAATATTTATATATAAATAATATAATATATTAATTTTAAAAATTAATTTTTTAATAATTAATTATATATCTTTAAAAAATATTATTTCTTAAAATAAATTTATTAAATTTTTATATATTATTACTATTTAAATCATAATTATTTTTAATATTAATTAATAATTAATAATTAATTTAATTTTAATTTTTATATATTAAAATATATTTAAAATTAATAAAAATTTAATTATTAATAAAAATTTTATTATTATTAATAAAAGTAAATAAAATTACTATTATAAATTTATTTTTAATAAAAAATACTTATTTTTATTAATTTATCAATTTTTTAAATTTTTTATAAATATAAATTTTATTTAAAAAAATATAATAATAATAATAATAATAATAATATAAATATTTATTTTATTATATTTATTAAAATATATCAAAATTTTATATTATTTACTTATTAGTATATATTTTAATATTTGATTTTTTAAATAAATATTTTAAATATTTTAACTTTTACTTAATTTTAAAAAATTAAATAATTTTTAAATATGTTATATATCTTATTTGATACTTCTAATATTTGTATTATATTATTAACTATACAGTTCATTTAATTATTGATTTAATTATTTGATAAAGTTATAAATAAATTAATATTTAGAAATTTTTTATAAAATTGAATATATTTTATTTTAAAGACTATATATAAAGTAATTTTATTTTGAGGAGTTAAATACTAATAACAAGTCTGCAATAAAGCTCTTCTTCAGTGAAGCTGTATGACATCATTTCAGACATGTGAAGATTCACTTTCACTCTTCTTTCAGATCTTGTTCACAGAGTTGAAATTGTTTTGCACTATATATCATTTGCAGATAATATGGTAGATAATCTTATCAAGTTACTGAGAAGATCACTAAGTTTGCACATTGAAAGAAGATCATAAAGTTGAGAAAATGAAGTGCTTCTTTTAATGCTCTTCCCCTTTTTACCTGGTGTTTTTTCACTTTTTCTCAGTTGATTCTGTACTTAATAGGCCTATTGTTGTATATAAATATTGAGAGCACTAGGGTGGGGGTGTCCGACCCTTCCGTCACATGACCTATTTTCCAACATATATAGTAGTTAGCAATCTTTGCAATCGATCAAGCTTGCCATTCTGTCACATATGCCACGATACTAGGCCTGGAAGGAATGTTTCCTCCACTTATATGAGCCACAGCCGCAAAAGGGCCATGGCCAATTCAAAGCCAGGAGTCGAGAAAGTGAATAATCATGGATCGAGTCTCACTATTTAGTAATTTGCCGATAAAAGAGTCAGATGTTGAGAAATCAAATTTCGCAAAAAGAGGTGCATAAAAAGCCGCGGAAGGTTTAAAGTTAAAAAGCCAAAGTAATGGTGAAAGCCATGCATGTGAGAGTGGTTACAGGATTATTTCCCATATCGAACAGCGGTGAGAAGAAGATGGATGAAACGTTGTAACTCCCCATGTTTTAGTGGGTGCAGGACAGAAAGCGGGCTGAACACGAATCGGGTACGACTGTTACAGACGTAGACGTTTATTTTCCATTCATTAACGATTATGGAGGAAATCCCCCAGTGTCAAAAGATGTCAAATTTTGGGCAATTTCAATGAGTATTTTTCAGGGCCTTCAAGAACGCACAATTAATTTCTAGTTCCTAACTGACATGCGTGGTGAAGTAGTAACTACGCTCTATTTTCTTTTCTTTTCTCTACTTTTCTCGGAAGAAAGCGTTGACTGCTATGTGGCCTAAGCTTTGAAGCGGGGGGGGAGGGGCAGGAAACGTAAATAAATTGGGGAAAAAACTTGGCCGTACCCGAGGATAACTGAATGATAGGTACCCCTCATCGGATAGCTAGACGTCTGGAGAGAGTTGGGGACTCAAAAGAGATTGTTTGATTTGTTGATGGTTGTTTGGTTCGCATGCAGCACAGTTTTTAATATGATCCGAGCTAGTTCATCTCATCAATACCTTACATACATACAGAGGTAAGTAAGTAACTCTGTATGTTTGTACTGTTCATACGTTAATTAGTTAGTGTGGGATGACGGCATGGGCTTAGCTAAAACTTACCAAGCTTCAGCCCTGCGCATTTTTAAACCACCAAAGCCAAAACTTGATGGAATCAAGTGATTAATACAGAGGAGATGAAGATACCATACCATACCATACTGTATAACACTGCCATACGTGGCGCATACCGGAATGTCCTGCCCAATGAGGGCCTTGAAAGAAATACCGTGCTCCCAGCCACAGCCACTTTGAGTGGCTGCTCACGGTTCCCAAATTCCCACCGCGCCACAACTAGTTCTACGGGAGCAGATATTACGCAGTGTTTAAGTATCGGAATCTATCCAAGGACGTTATCTTCATATGAATAATCCGCCAAAACTGCCAGTTAACTAGTTAAAATGAACTGGTGCAAGAAGCTTCATCCAATAGGGCCATGCCCATCCTGGACCGTGCAGGAAAGTGCCAGCATTATTGCTACGGAGCTTATTATTTATTGATTATTATTATGATTATTAGATTATTATTTTATCTGGGAGGTAGCAGAAGGTTTAGCAGTGGGAATACATCAGGGAGGAGGAGTAGGTTTAAATCTCAACACTCTGGATATTTAATTAGTGGAAATAGTTTTTGCTTAGTTCGCATACAGCGTATATTATTTCTAGCCTCGCCTCCCAGAAAACTTTGCCTGTTGTCTTCTCTTCTCTCCTCTCCTTTCCCCATCTTTATTTTCTTCTCTTCTCTTTTGACTTCCCTTTTTTTTTTCTTCCGTTGCCAGCTGGAGAGTTCTGACGAGTCTTGACGGATTCTCATCAGTCTCCAGTCTAACTTTTCTATTTTGTCGTCGCCGACCTTAATACTCCCCGTTTCTGGGCTTCGTCCCATCTCTTCTCCCTCTCTTCCGCTTCTCTCACTCGTCTCCCGCTTCTTTTTTCCACTCTTCTCTTCGTAGAAATATACGCACACTACATATATATATACATATCCCCCGCTGCTCGTTCTGCAACTATACTCAGATCCTTCGCCGTATCCTCTTTGTCTAGTCCTTGCGGTTGTGAATTGACCCTTGGGTGGCGCTGCTGCTTTCGACCAACAGAGCAAAGCCCGCCTTTTTTTTTACCTCCCCTCCTGACCGCTTTGTCATCCCCTCGTGTCTAGTTGACCACTTTTAACCGCAACACCTCTCCTGAATTACTTACCACCTCTTTTCTACCACACTCTAAGTGCCACTGCTATAAATCTATCCTGCTGGTATTGTCACCTGCAGCTTTCCCCCCCCCATCCCCTGGAGTCAAGTCACATCTGACTCCTTCATCCGCTTTTCCTCTAAAAATCTATGCACATGAATCCATCCGTTCCACTATCGACACCATCGACAACCTCCACAGCATCGCAGAATTCACATGGCCCGGATGGCGACCAGATAACAAAGGCCCAGGAGAATACCCACCTCCCTGCTGCTTACCCAAAGGCTCAGCAGGGAGGGAGGGAGTCTCCTCCTAATCCTGCTAAACCAGTCAAATCCAAAATGACAAACCCTTTCTCCCGCATGTTCCAGTCCGGCAAAGTGTCTCACAAAGACGTCGATGTCGGGAAAGATGGAGTTGCTCCGAATCGCGCAAGTAACGTTAATCATACTGGAGGACACCCACCGTCTCCTACTACCGTGGCCACCGTTCCAAGTGAATATCCCACTGCAGGCTCCATTACCCAGTCCTCGTCGAAACAATCGGACAAAAAAGTGGATGGGGATGCTAAGAAACACAAAGATGCCTGCTCCACTCACAAACGATTTGAAGTCGTCGAGGGCGGATCTCACATGCATCACCTAAAGAGCGCCAAGCGCCAGGAGAAACTCTCGG